TTTATATAAAACATTTATAGAAATCATGAAAATAAACAACTTAACCTGAGATTGGTTTGTATCTATAGTATAAGTGTAATTTCTAGCCCATTGTCCAACACATTCAAAGAACCACCAGATAAGGGATTTAAATGATAGCTGTCTCCATCAGTTCTCAGTACATGCTGTTGAGTGTGTTCTAGTTTATACTGAATAGTATGAGAAGAGTTGTTTGGTCGAAAGTACAGTTGAAATTCTAGTTTCCAGAAGGAACATCTCTCCTAGATTTTCTCTCTCCTTCAGATAGAGTTAGTTATAGTTCCCACAACAGGAGACCTCTACAGCACTAAATTAGTGATCAGGTGGGGATGTTACATGGGATTTAGGTAAATGGTTGGTGATGGCTATTCCTTTTTACTTGTGATGTTACATTAGCGGTCACCATAATTTCACACTTAAGTGAAAAATGATGAATAGTAATGATCTCCATTTTATTCTGAAATTGTTCAGTAACTTCCCAAGGTCACACAGCTAAAAAGCAGGAGGTAGGATACAAATCCATGAGGTCTGGTTCCAGACTATGCCACAAAGACAAAGATGGTATATAGAAAATCAAGGCTATATCTATACTAATAAAAGGGTAATATGCTAATTAAACCAGGTCAACCGGCCAACTTCCGGACGTCTGACTTCGGACAAAGCCAAGGTGGTGGGGGCAGAGGCAGTTAGGGGCGAGATCAGGCTGGCAGGGAAGAGCAGTTAGGGGTGGGATCAGGCTAGCAGGGGGTTAGGGACGAGATCAGGCTGGCAGGAGGTTAGGGGTGATCAGGTCGGCAGGGGAAGGCCGTTGGGGGTTACCAGGTTGGCAGGGAAGGGCAGTTGGGGATGTCCAGGCTGGCAGGGGAGGGCAGTTGGGGGCGACCAGGCCAGCCGGAGAGAGCAGTTAGGGGCGATCAGGCTGGCAGAGGAGAGCTGTTGGGGGCCATCAGGCTGGCAGATGAGTGGTTAGAGGGTGATCAGGCTGGCAGGCAGGCAGGCAGGTGAGCGGTTAGGAGCCAGCAGTCCCGGAGGGATGTCTGACTGCTGGTTATTCCCCAAGGGGTCCCAAAGTGCGAGAGGGCACTGGCCGGGTGAAGGACACCCCTGCCCCCCACCCTAGTGCACGAGTTACATGCACCAGGCCTCTAGTGTGAAAATAGATACAAGATATGTGATAAAAAACAGAAGTAGGTGAAGGCTAAGAAACCTGGGTCCCATTTATATAGCTTAGCCACTCTATGTGATGTTGGGCATATTATTTGCCTGAACATCCCTAATGTGATTTACATATTTTACATAGACTGTTCTCATTACGAAAAACAAAGTAAGTGAAAGTGCGGTTTATTTTAGAGTGGCATCCAAAAAAATGAGTTATTAATTTACTATATATGCCCATATTTCCATTTTAACACCTATCAGACTGTGATTGTTTACATTCTTAATGAGTTCCTATGCATGAGGACTGTGAATTAATCATTCTTGTATCGCCAGTGTCTAGCAGAGTCCCTGACACATGGGAAGCATGCATACATTTTATGGAAGCAAAATTGTCTAACTTTATAGCTTTGCGGGAAATCTTTAAAATGAGATTTATTGTCTAACCACTATGTTGTACACCTGAAACTAATTAAAATTAATATAGAATGTAAACTGTAATTGAAAAAAGAATTTTTAATTAAAAATAAAATGAAGTGAAATTTAAACTGAAACTCAGATTGTTCTTGAACAGTGTTTCTCAGTTTTAACCTGGACCAGCTAAGAAATACATTTTACATCATACCCATTATGCACACACAATACTGAAACAAAATGTTAAGGAAACAGCTTGCTTTGTGTGATGTCCTCTGATAAGTTCGGTTTCATTATTTTTTGTTCACTTGAAATTATGCTGGTGTAACCCACCAAAATGATTTCAGGATCCCCTGAGAGGTTCTAAGACACCTCTCAAGAATGCAAGCTCCGTGAGAACAGGCACTTCATTTTCACGTCTGTATTGCTGGTGCTTGGCACATAGTAGGTGTTGAGTGTTTCTGGAATGAGAGAAAGAATGGAGAGGCTCTTTTCCATACGTCACAATTAAGGACAAAACAAAGAAAAAGCAGGAGAGATCTGTAATACTGTCAACAGTTAAAATATATATATTAAAATGTATCTATATATACTTAAAAAAAACACAAATAGCATTATAAACTCCTTGCTACATTTCAACTCATAGTGTTTGGGTGGTCTACTAGAATAGTATAATACCTAAGCATCATGGAGGAAGCAAAGTTAAGTAAGGCTCAGTCTCAGACCTCATGCAGTTTTGAGCCCAATCCAAGGGAATAGTCAAGTACAAGTAGGCCTAAAAGAAGTTTCAAGATTTTACCAACATATTTGACACCAGTCACAGACACAACTAAAGCTAAGTGCTGAGAGGAGAATTTTCTGGCATAGATGTGATAATAGGATCAAGAATTGATGACAGTACCCTGCCTCATCTATTTTTCATCACTAGTAGAATCAAACTGTGGATTATATATAAAATAGATTTAGTCTCAAAAATATTCAAGGGACATTTGATTTGACAGTTAAAAATGTGTTCTCCGTTAAATAAGTTAATTCATAGTAATCCTGAGTGTAGCTTGTGGATCCTAAAATTTAGGTCTTTCTGCAAGCACAAGAATTTGTTTTTGAAAATTAGTTGGCCTGGTTGATAAAGAGGAGGAAGCTTTAGCTTTATACAAAATACATTTTCTTGGTTTTCGGTTACCATGTAAGTATGTAGTTTTGTATGCTCACACTGATGAGTGCAGGACTGTGCTTAGGCGCTGTTAAGACTTAGAGTCCTTAATTAAGCCAGCCTTAGGCTAACCTTAACATTTATCATGAAAACGAACTTGCGCAGGAGAGGAAAGGGGTTGAAGAGCTGGAACAGATGTAAATAGGGACTTGTCCCAGTGAGCTAGGAGCGTGGCTACCCTAGCTTTAGTGCATGTATTCCTGTTTGGTTACATTATCTTGAAAAGAAATAAAAAGAAGCTTTACAGAACATTTATAAAACTTGAAGCACTATTAACCAAAAACCCACTGGCAAATCTTTTGTAATCAGGAGAGATTACTTTCAAAGATTGAAAGTAATCAACAATTTATAAATAGCATTGGAATGAAAATGTTTTTGTTATGTAACTTTTTTCCTAAGATCAAGAAAGTGAGTCATGTACTTGTTTTAGTTCATCTCTAGTAGTGAAAAGATTGAACACTTTCTTAGAAATAATAATGGAATAGAATCTATTCTTATAGTGTAAAGCAAGTTAATAGACAGCCCTAGGTGTTCATGATTTCATCTAAACAATACTGAAATATCTCAGTCAGTTCATTCAGTGAGGCTTTTTTAACTCCACTTTATGACTAGCCAGATGCTAAGGCACCGTCAGTAGCATTTTAATGTGGTTTCCTGTTAAATAGCAGTCGCTATAGGATTATCAACCCAAATGGTACCAAAAGGACCTGACAGGATAGTTTAACACTGTGAACAGGAACACCAAAGGTAGTTTTATATGAGATGGAACTATAGTAATTACCCCACAATTTCCACTAGTCACAGCTATTTTGGATTTGTAACTCAGTAATCAAACGCCTTCTCTATTCCCTAAGCGCCTTTTTATGGCAATTAAGTAAAACACTTGCTCTAATCCACAGGAACCAAGGCTCTGGTTTTTCAGAGGAAACAATCATGCTTTATACTCACGCAGACCATTCAATACTACCTTTTCAGGAAGGAAGGCCCAGACCCCAAGTGGTTAGTTAAGTGTTTTAAGTTCCAGACTAGGGAGATGGCATTTATCGTTTTGTTGCTTGCGAACAGAAGCATAAAATTTTATTAAATCCATAAGCAAATCATTGACCAAAATGAAGTTTAATGAAAGTTCTTTGTCAGAAGATTAATTTAACATTTTAGTAGTGTATGACTATAATATAGCACAGTCCTCTTCTATAAACTATGCTTTAAAATAATAAATAGAAATATTTAGGCCTCTTTTTCTGCATTGAGGCAAATTTGGGCTCAAAAGTAATTGTACTTATGTATTTATTGCCTTCCCGAATATTTTAAGATGATAATCTTTCTGTGACTTGTTTTTTTCCTGTCTTTTGTTATATTAATACTTGAGAATGCTTTGAAACGCCCCCTAAACCAGCAGTCGCCAACCTTTCGGACCTCACAGACCACCAGTGGTCTGCGGACCACTGGTTGGCGACCGCTCCTGTAAACCAGTGACACTGGCTGGCACCAGAGGAGGTCATGTGTTAGTGGTTCTTCTATGGCCATTTTCTGCATAGCTACCATCTCCATAGTCTTAGAAGTGCAAGGCCAGAAGGTCCAAGCACCCAAGTTGAGATGTGGCTCTCCAGCCCTCTGCTCACACCCCTCATGAATGTATAAGCATTTATGAAACCACTGCCTTGCTTACAGAGACCTTTTACTCAGAGCTGTACTTCCCAAGAATAGGAATCATTGCGTGTACGACGAGCTCTAGAGTCAAATAACTCTGCCATTGTTTGCTATTCAATTTAGTGAGTTGCTGCTCCTGGTTATTTGATATCCTCTCCCAAAGGTTCTTGAACATTCTGAGAATTAACAGAGAGCCAGAACTGATCTGCTAGAACAAAAATGTTAGAAAAGGATCATACCCTAATGTATAAAAAGCCAGGGGCCGTCACAA